GTAAAAGGCGACCAGGACGGTGACTCTGGCTTTTTATCCTACCGTGCAGCCTCACACGTTCAGCTCTGCAATAACGTTCAAGTTCCCTGTCCACTCTTATGAGCCTAGCACTTCTTTACAGGCCTAGATTTTTACTAAGCTTCAAGTTTCCAAACAGAAACATCTGCTAATGTTCAAAACGCCTGAACAAACTTTGTAAAGAAAAAAAAACACTAGCAAAATCATAAGTCATTTAAAAATTCCACCAAACAGTATGAAATTGGTTTTACAATGGTTTCTTGAAAAGATTTCTCAAAATTCTTCCATGCCTTTGCCTTCTTTAACCTTGGAACTAACATGTCTTCCAAGCACTACAAGCTTTCAAAGAAGCCAGCTGTCAGCTAAACTCAGGGAAGCTCAGCGTTCCCTGGGCTGCCATGGCTCAGGTTGAAGAACACGCGTTTGCTCTTGAGGAGGGTGTGGGCTCAGTCCCCAGCACCCACACAAGTCCATCTGCACTCAAACATCTGTAACCCTAGGTCCAGGGACCTAGTATTCACTTTTGAGGTCTGAGGGCACCAGGCACACAATGGTGTGCATACATACATACATACATACATGCAAGCAAAACATTCATGCACACAAATAATCTAAAAACAAAACAAAACAACTCAGTCCCCCATTCTTAAGGACTCCCATGAACCAAAGACTCATCCATCCAGCTATAAGACAAAACTGTCCTCCCCCCCATCGTGTTTTGATATTTTTCCCTATCAAAAATTTTACTAGCAAAACCTCTGGGAAAGTCCTTCACACATATAGAACCTCTTTGCTTTAATGTCTGTCACTTACTACCAGACACCTACATACTCCTGAGATGATCTAAGTCTTCAACAAGCTTTTAATCACTCAACAAGCAGATGTTCTGGGGATAAGCAACAGAGCCCAATCTTCTCCGAGCTCTGCTAAAGGAATGAGTCACATCACCATGAATCTAGAAGCAATTGAAATTTAAGACCTGACTCAATGTGCCTAAGTCAAAAACCGAACAACTAGCACTGACTAGTCACCAGGCACTCAAGCACAGAGAAGCCCCAGCTCTACCAGCTCACCTCCTGCAAATCTGGAACCCAAACTCAGTTTCCCAACTGTACCAGAGGTCTTAGCCACTGTACCGGAGATGAGGATAAATAAAATCAAGCAGCTACAGCTCCTAAGAACCGTAAATACCATTATGCATAAATAAGAGCCTCTTCTTAACCTCTGTTCTCTGCACTAGTCTGATCCACTTACGGCAAGGCATATGGAAATGAGCGGTCACAACCCACCCGAATATTCACTGTCAGTACTTACGTGCTGAGTACTCAGAGCTCATCTATACCGGAGCTTCCACTCTTATCTACAGAATCAGATGATGGCCAACTTATCCGTTCACTTGTATTCTTTAGTTCTTGAACAAACTCCTGTAGACCTATGTTAGGTAACTAGTTTATAAGAATATATAAACTATCCGTAGTTTATATGGAGAGTGGTGTCTGAGTGCACTGGTTTTTTTTTTTGGGGGGGGGGAAGGGGAGTGATGAGAACTGCTCTAAGGTACACTGACAATAAATGACTTGTCTTCTAGAGGGTCAACTCAATCAGCATTATTTTAAAAATATCCTTTCCCCAAATCAAAGCTAGTCCAGGCACTTTAGACATTGGGACACACAAATGTCACCTCCTTCACTGGGTCCCTATGCTTAATTTAGTCACAACATCAACACTAGCTTTCAAAACACTAAAATTAAAGAAAGAGGTTTGTTTTTTTTTTTAATTAAATGAGTCCACGATTTAAATGCCAGATAAAGATCTTTTAAAATCTTAAAGTTTGGGCTGGAGAGATGGCTCAGTGGTTAAGAGCACTGAGTTCTTAGCTCTTCCAGAGGTCCTGAGTTCAATTCCCAGCACCCACATGGTGGCTCACAATCATCTGTAATAAGATCCGATGCCCTCTTCTGGTGTGTCTGAAGACAGCAACAGTGTACTCATATAATAAACATTTAAAAAAAAGAATTAAAAAAAATCTTAAAAGTTTATGCTTATTTACCTTTTCTGCCTTAATGAACAACACTGTTACCAAAAAATACCTATCGTCAAGATTTTATAACTATACACAATACAAATCTCTTAAGTGAAAATGTAATCTCAAGTTAAATAGATTTGCTAGGACCTCACAATTTACAGCAGAGTCATACAGTATTGTTAACTAGGCCAAATACTCTGTATTTCACCATGAGAATAGTACTTTCTTCCTTCTGGAAACATTGTCTTTTTTTACAAGCATGTCCAAGCTTTTGACATTGTGGCAGGACATTGCCACTTACAAAATTCATCCTAGAAAACCACACAACAGTTATCTAGAAAACCACACACATCAAAAAGTATCCTAACCTCACAACCTTGTGTTGGGCCACTCCACCAGCTGTTCTGGGGCCACGGGGGCCTGCCCATAGTATTTTACACATATTACACTTCACATAATGCTGAGACTTAGCCTGCCTACAATTCTTCTGGCAATTAATTATTTAAAAATATTTAACCACAAATCTTGGTACTTACATCAGAACAACTAAACTTCTAATGAGAACCAAGCATGACTTTAAAAAATGATGTGTCTATATAATGAAAATATAAAAAACAGCCGGGCGGTGGTGGCGCACACCTTCAATCCCAGCACTTGGTAGGCAGAGGCAGGCGGATTTCTGAGTTCAAGAGTTCGAGGCTAGCCTGGTCTACAGAGTGAGTTCCAGGACAGCCAGGGCTACACAGAGAAACTCTGTCTCGAAAAACCAAAAAAAGAAAAAAAAGAAAAGAAAGAAAAGAAGGTATTTTAATCAATCTTCAAAAATGTTTAATATTTAATGTGTAGAGCACTTCTGTCCCAAAGAGTGAAGTAGACGGCTAGGATGTAATTTATTCTGCCTGCATATATGTCTGTGTGAGGGTGTTGGATTCCCCTGGAACTGGAGTTACAGGCAGGTGCTAGCTGCCATATGGGTTCTGAGGATTGAATAGCCTGTCCTCTGGAAGAGCGGTTAGTGCTCTTAACCTCTGAGCATCTCTCCAGCCCCTTTATAAAAATGTAGTAATGTTAAGTTAAGGGAAGTCACTGTTACTAAAGAAAACACTCACAAAGTTCTAGGAAGGGGGCAATAATTTTAGCAGTGCTTTGGCTCACTCCAACCTAAAGATAGAAATCCCTGTAGTTTGCCATCAAGGCATCCTTATTTCTTTCATAGTAGTTTTCAAAACAAAGAAAAACTCAGGGCGCACATTTTTTTTACAGGAAACTACTTCAGTCAATAGTTGCATATACACTATCACCACATGAAATGATTGTAGTCTTTTAAAAACAATCCATGAGTCTGTAATTAACAAAACTGTATGATCCTAGCTGAGATGCTAAGCAAAAGTTAAATGGAATCAGAGCGAAACTCAGCACTTCTACAGGAAGACACACACACACCACACACCGGGAGGGAATAACACCCACAGCTTATATAGCTGAGAGCTTACAACACATGTGTGTTTCATTCAAGACTTCAACTGTAAGTGAACACGCAAAGATCCGAAAGGAATCAAACTCACCCTAATTCTAACAGCCTAAGAACAAATCCCTTCAATCTTCACTTTGAGACCCAACCTAAAACTTCAAAATGCTCCAAACAAACATGTCACTCCCTCTTTCTCCCCATATCATCATCTTCAGGGGAAACTTTTTATAAAAATGGAAATGTAAGGCTCAGAAGTTCCCTAGGTACCAAAAACAGTCCTGGGTGGTTTTGTGTCCGAGAAAGACCCTGTGTGTATCTCACTGAGCATGCACTCTGATGACTTTACCTAGGAACAAAGGCATTATTTCCCCCAGGGTTCTCCTTTCCCAAATCGGAAAACAGCTTCAGATAGGATCTGGACAAATCTTCATGTGTTCACACAGAAAAGGAAAAAAAAAAAAAAAAAACCTCCTAGACTAGTTTTAACCAAAGATTATTTGTTCTTTTTAAATGCACACAAAACGGTATCGCCCAAAGCATTACAGAGCAAAACTTAGGTATCAAAGAAATAGCTTTTTCTTTTGACAGAGGGCTTATTTGTGAAGGAATAGGCGTGGGGGGGGGAGGGGGGTGATGATGTTAACAATCAGTGCAGCATGGGGAAAAAAGCCGAGGCTAATGTGTGAGAGTAGAACACCTTCGATCTGCACGGGGAATAAGAACCAACAGCCCAGGTCTCGAAGAACACAACTATATGATAAAGCTTCATGGCTCACCAACCTCTTTTCTCAAGATTCGTTAGCTTGGCAAAAAGCTCAGCAATCCAGCCCTCCGGCCATGATTTTGTATAGGGATGTGAGGCTGAAACCCCAAGATCCTGCGTGGGTTTCACCCGAGCGGAGGAAAAGTGACAGGGATGCTGGCGGGAAAACCCTGCAGGCCAAGTTTCCCCCAAGCCGGGCTCCCCTCCCCCTTCTCGCCACCTTCGCGAACAAGAATTATCCGAAGACCGGGTGAAAAAAAAAAGAAAAAAGTATACAATCCAATCAGCGAAGGCCTCGGAAAAGTTAATCGTGGCACCCATTCCCATCCGCGGGAAAGCCAGGCGGTGGCTGAGCGGCTGGCGAGCAGAAGCTTGTCCCCAGCGCCAGGATGGCCTGGCGCCTCTGGAGGGCCGGGGACTAGGCCCGGCCGCCCGCCTCCCGGCCGGGATACACTCCTTCCCCAGCGCAGCCGGTGCCTTTGGCCCCGGGCGCTACCTGGGACGTGTCCCTGGGGGTGGACAAAGGATGCGACGCGGACGCCAGGACGCGGAGGAGACCCGGTGGCCGGAGCGGACAACGGCCTAGTGGAGAGATGGGGGAGGGGGTGGCTGGAGACCCGCCGGACCGAGGGGTGGGGCAGGGCCTGTCGCGAGGCCCCGGCGGCGGCCGCCCTCCACCTCCCCGCCACGAGGTGGTGTTAGGGTCGGATTTCAGTCCTCACCTGAAGTCCTTGTCGCTGGATGTCATTTTCTCCAGCAAGTTGGAGATGTGGTACGAAGCGCTCGCCATGTTGCCGGCCTCGATCCCGCCTGCTGGCTCAGTGGATGCTGGGCCCCGCGGCCGGGGCTCCTCCTCTCGTTGGCGGCGGCGCCCGCTTCCAGGGTCGCAGCGCGACGCGGACTAGGGAAGGCGCTTCGACACGACGTCCAGTCCCCGGCCAGACGGGGGTGGTGGGGGAATGGCTGCCCCGGGGTAAAGGGGGAGGAACGAGAGAGAGTGACGGGGACGGCCTAACGACGGCGCTGCTCGCGGGGCAACGAGCTCATGGGCGGCGGGACGGATGGCTGGGCCTCGCCGGGAAGCCAGACACTTGCGTTCGGGCCGTCTCGCTCCCACTCCCTCCGCACTCGCTCCCTAGGGCAAGAGGCCAAAGCCCGCCTCCTTCGCTGGGAGGGCGGGGGCGGCCGACGCAGGGCGCTGCGGGGAGGCGGGGTCGGAGTTCACCGGGGCTGCCCCGCGCACTCTGCGCAGGCGCGGTTCACGGGGAGGATCCCATTGGTTGGGTCCGGTGTCTGTCTTTCCGCGGACCGCCTTTCGGGAGGAATGACAACGCCTCAAGGGCCTTTTCTCGCGAGACCTTAAAGCGACGGTTAAAGGACGAGCGGCGAGCGTAGAAGGCCGGAGTTCTGAAATAGCTCCTTGCTCCTCCGTACGACATTAAGACGGAAGATTTATGCGTTTAAAAGCGCGTAGGGCCTGTGGGTGATGATGATAAGAGCTGGCCTGGAGGCCAAGCGGTGCACTGGAAAAATGAGCTCTCGTTCCGAATGGTACGCGTGGCCGAAACTGTCCCCTAACAACCATGCTGGATGGTTGCCACGTGAGAACTACAAGTCCCACAATTCAATTGGGGATACACGAAGGACGTGATTGGCTGATTGAACCTGGAGCTTTCTCATTGGCTCCCACGGAGAGAATTCTGGGATTTGCAGGCAGACGCCGCGGTTATGCTAAATAAAACCTTTTCATCAGCGTGCACTGTTTCTATCTTGAGTGTCTTATTTCCCTGAAAACATCGACCTCCTCCTCCATCCTCATGTTGTGCTGTTATTTCGGGCAAGTGCCTTGCAAATTTTAATGTTTCGGTAGGAGCCTAAGTCGATCCTTAGCACTAATCTTTGCTCCACTGAAAGGCCTCAGAGCCACAGGACTTGTTTTTGGACAGGCTCCTTTCATTCATTCTGGAGCCAGCTTTTTGATTCCTGCTAGGTCCTAGAAAGGATAAACGTGCATGGTGCACGCCTCTAATCCCTTGATCGGTAGAGGCAAGTGTAGGAGAGCTGTGTGGCTCTAAAGTACAAAACCAGCCTGGTCTCCAAATCCAATTCCCAGGCAAGTTAGGGCTAGTGCAAACCTGTCTCAAATAGGGTGAGGGTCAAGTAACAGATTGTACACTGGACCTGCATCATTCAGTGGTCAGCTTTTGTGCACTTAGTCTTGAAATGTAAATCTTCCAGTGGGTGTCCTCAGATATACTAACACAACCAACAGAGATCAGAGGTGAAATGTACAACTGTTTATGTACTATCCAAGTCTCCCTATCTGTTCAGTATTTCACAAAGAGCCCAAAGAAGAGTTGGAAGGATCAGATATTTGACTTGGTTTGGATGGTTTGGTTTGTTTCGGTTTTTTGAGACGGGGTTTCTCTAGATAGCCCTGGCTATCTTGGAACTCACTCTGTAGATCAGGCTGCTCTCAAACTCACATCTGCCTCTGCCTCTGCCTCCGGAATGCTGTGATTGAAGGGGTGTGCCACCAAGCCTGGCTAATGATTTGTTTATTTTGCCAGCATTGCTTTTTTTCCCCTCCATGTATGTCTGTGTGAGAGTGTCACACTGTCTGGAACTTGAGTTATAGACAGTGTGAGCAGCCCTGTGGGGGCTGGGACTTGAAGACCTGGTCCTCTGGAAGAGAAGCTCTTAATCACTGAGCCATCTCTTATCATCCCCCCATAAATATTTAAAATAGTTCACTGATTCCAGATACTTCCAATCCCAGCAAAGCTACCTGAGTACAAAATATGGTTTGGGTTCAGTGCTTTTGTTGACCCCATTTTTTTTTTTAAACGATAATGGGCTTTTTCTTTTCCACAATGCCATACATCTTTCATTTTCCCCAACTCTATCACTATTAGGCTACTTTTTATCAAGCTTTATCATTTCAGCTCCAATTTTCCTAAGCCGGAAAAATTTTTTTACATGTTATTATATGTAATATAAACCCCCAACATACACAAGCAGGTCATGTAAACCTTAAAACTGGAAACCTTTGTTGTCAGATAATAGTCCTTCCTCTTAGTGTGCCTCAGTTTGATCGTGAGAAAAATGATGACCTTTAGAATATTGCCTTCTGTCCCCTTCCTCCACCCTTGAGCCAGCCTGAAAGACCTTGTTTACCACAATAGACCAAATAATAGGATCTACATGGAGTTACCTACCTTGGCTGTGTGTACAGCCTACTACAGTAACTTAGAAGAATAACTGTCTGCTGAGCTTGCCTTGAGGTATCTCCGACTGTGACAAAGGATGGGTTCTTCCACCCATCTTCAGCTGAAACAAGAAAGGTGGGGCTTTCCCTTTAAATTGAGAGCTGAACATTAAACTTCGAGCCTTGATCAGAGAACTTTGTCTTGGCTTCATCTTTTCTTGCCCTCTGTCCCTTTCTTCATTTCCAGCCCATCTTTCAGGTGAACCCAGTTGATCTGTGGCTACAGGCAGCTATAGGTGGCGCCCCAATGAGGGACCAAAAAACATGGGACCAGCTGAGAAATGCTGTCTTAGGTGGAGCTCCATGGAAAAAAGAAGAAGAAGAGTATCCTGCACACTTGGTAAGCAATGAACAGCATTGATGCTAGCGCTAGTTATGGCTGTGTTTTCAGGAAGTATGTTTAAGGGGATATGGTCTAGGTAGAATAGATGTTGACCCAATGCCGATTTCACCTAGGAGGTGACATTGAAATGGGACAAGAGAATTCTAAATAGGCACTCACCTGCAGCCTAAGAGCTGCCTCAGGTGAGAGGAGCAGAGTTAGAAGGAATTGGAAAACTAAGAAAGCAGGGCACTGGGGAGTAACTGTCAATAGCCATCACACCTCCTAAAGAAAGAGATAAAGAGTTAGATCTTGAATATGAGAGAGAGAAAGGGTTTCAGAAAAGCCGTTGTCCTATCTCTGGGCTACATCAGCAAAAAAGAAGGAAAAGGCTATTTCAGAGCTCTCTTAGGAACAGGAGAAAATTCAGGAGATGTCCTGAGTTTCTCTTTGGCTTCTACAGGAAAGATCCCTAGTTCTGCTTTCTTTGTTTATTGTCTGTCCTTGGCACACCAATGTCCACGTGTGTCAATTGTCTGTTTTTGTTTTGCTGTCTGAATGATTGTTGTTCTATTTCATGTTCCAAAAGAAAAATCGTTAAAACTGCGTGACCCACCACTTGGTCTAGTTTAACTTGGTCTTAAAGGCAGTCTTGTTTTGTTTTGTTTTGTTTTGTTTTGTTTTGTTTTGTGTTTTGTTTTTTGAGACAGGGTTTCTCTGTATAGCCCTGGCTGTTCTGGAACTCACTCTGTAAACCAGGCTGGCCACGAACTAAGAAATCCGCCTGTCTCTGCCTCCCAAGTGCTGGGATTAAAGGCGTGCACCACCACTGCCTGGTTAAAGACAGTCTTAATATGCACAGCAGAAACTGATAAGTTACCCTATACCTGTAGCTAGAAGTCGAGCTGAGCTGGAAAAACCTTTCCAGGAACTGATTGGCTGCATAAGCTGCTTTTAAAGGGACCAGCAGATTTTTGGCTTCTATGATAAAGAAGCTGAGAATGTTTGTCCTAGAAAAATATCTCTGTGACAAGGTGCTTTTCTCTTGGAATTACAGCTAGAAAAGGCAAGAAATTTTGTTTGGACTAAATATATAAGATGTGTAGCCACTTCATTTTTGCTTCTGACTGCTTTTAAAAGTATAAATATGTTCTGCATGTCTTGTATTGGCCTATAATATTGGGTATGATCAAAAATGTGCAACTTTGGTAACAGAAAGTTGGCTTAAAAGTAGTAACTCAGGGTTAGAATTATTCAGAAACCAGATTTATAAAAGATTTAAAACAATGTCTCTTTAATGAGATATTAAAAGTTGCACTATCATGGATTCATATATAAGCACTGGCAGCCAAACTTTGTAAAATAAAAGTAATGCACTTGTGTTGATTTTAGAGAAAATGGATTATTTACATTGTTAAAAATTGGTTTTATTTCCCAAAATTATGATTATACTCTAATATTGCAAAAGAAACTTAAAAATATAGTTAAACTGCCAATGTTCCATTGGCTGCATTTGGCAGTTCAATCGTGAGCTTGGGATTTTTTGACTCATCCATGTTTATGATTGAGAAGAGGATAGAGCAGGTAGAATAAAAATGAATAAAAGTTGAATAAAAGTGTTAACACAGTACAGGCCTTCAGGAAGGATAATCTTTGGGCCAGGCCTCAGGAAATAGGCCCAGATTAAGAACATTTACATTTGAATTAAGAATTTGTTTATTGCCTTGCTTGTTCATTGTGAGGGAGGGGTCAGCCTCAGGCCTAAAGACATTCACAACAGACAGCTCATGGGCCAGGAGTTATAGTTAATGATTATGCTGGAGAAATTAAAATTAAGTCTACTTCCCTCTATGGCATTATAGCTGTGCCTGCTAACAAAAGAATTACTCTAAGAGTAAGAGAAGACAAGATTGGCCTTCAACTTGGCCTTTATCTGGAACTCTCACTCACCTACAAGGGATTGGTTATTCAATTAATCCAAAACAAAGTTCAAACTTAAGATTTATGAAACTAATGGGGCATTACAGTCTGACTTGCCTACTCCAGCTGCCATTCCAAGAAATGCATATAAAATTATTATAGATTTAGAAGAAGATTGTCTTTATACCATTCCTTTACATCCTGGTAAAGGTGGGAGGTTTACATTCAGTCAATTTGCTTGTAATTTTTGAGAGCCCATGAAGCAATATCTTTATAAAGGTTTACTTCAATTATGTAAGAAATTTTGTTGCTCCTTTGGTACAAGAAGGAGTTTGGATCTTTCAGTGTATATTATTCATTATATGGATATTTTCTTAGCTGATTCCTTTGAAGGAATTTTATACTACAAGCTTTTGCTCTCATACAATGAGCTTTAAAATTTTGGTGTGCTTGTTGCTCCAGAAAAGATTCAAAGGCAATATGTTTTCAATATTTGGGATCTCAGTTATATCCTAAGCAGATTGTGGCACAGAAAACTCCAATAAGAAAGGATAGTTGGGGCTGGAGAGGTGGCTCAGCCGTTAAAGGCTAGACTTACAACCAAAAATATAAGAGTTCAATTCCCAGCAACCACATGGTGC